GTTCCACTTTAACAAAAGAGTATGAGACAACTGAAAATATGTCTTATATTCTAGGTTCTTCAAAGTAGCCACCTTTTGTTTTGATTACTGTTTTGCACACTCTTGGCATTCTCTTGGTGAGCTTCAAGAGGTAGTCACCTGAAATGGTCTTCCAACAGTCTTGAAGGATTTTCCAGAGATGCTTAGCACTTGTTGGCCCTTTTGGACTCTGCGGTCCAGCTCACCCCAAACCATCTTGATTGGGTTCAGGTCTGGGGACTGTGACCAGGTTATCTAGTCACTCTCCTTCTTGGTCAAATAGCCCTTACTCAGCCTGGAGGTGTGTTTGGGGTCATTGTCCTGTTGAAAAATAAATGATGGTCCAACTAAACGCAAACCGGATGGAATTGCCACTGCAAGATGCTGTGGTAGCCATGCTGGTTCAGTATGCCTTCAATTTTGAATAAATCCCCAACAGTGTCACCAGCAAAGCACACCCACACCATCACACCTCCTCTATGCTTCATGGTGYGAACCAGGCATGTCTATCTGTTCACCTTTTATGCATCCCACAAAGACAGTGGTTGGAACCAAAGATCTCAAATTTGGACTCATCAGACCAAAACACAGATCTCCACTGGTCTAATGTCCATTTATTGGGTTCTTTAACCCAAACAAGTCTCTTCTGCTTGTTGACTGTTCTTAGCAGTGGTTTCCTAGCAGCTATTTTACCATGAAGGCCTGATTCACACAGTCTCCTCTTAACAGTTGTTCTAGAGATGTGTTTGCTGCTAGAACTCTGTGTGGCATTGATCTGTTCTCTAATCTGAGCTGCTGTTAACCTGCCATTTCTGAGGCTGGTGACTCAGCAGAGGTGACTCTTGATCTTCCTTAACTGGGGCAGTCCTCATGTGAACCAGTTTCTTTGCAGCACTTGATAGTTTTTGCGACTGCACCTGGGGACACTTTCAAAATTTTCCCAATTTTTCGAATTGACTGACCTTCATTTCTTAAAGTAATGATGGCCACTCATTTCTCTTAAGTTAGTTGCTTTTGTCTTGCCATAATACAAATTCTAACAGTATTCAGTAGGACTATCAGCTGTGTACTGTATCCACCTTCTGCACAACACAACAGATGGTCCCAACCCCATTTAGAAGGCAAGAAATCCCACTTATTAAACCTGACAGAGCACACCTGTGAAGTGAAAACCATTTCAGGTGACTACCTCTTGAAGCTCATCAAGAGAATACAGAGAGTGTGAAGCAGTAATCAAAGCAAAAGGTGGCTACTTTGAAGACCCTAGAATGTGACATATTTTCAGTTGTTTCACACTTTTTGTTAAGTATATAATTCCACATGTGTTAATTCATAGTTTTGATGCCTTCAATGTGAATCTACAATTTTCATAGTCATGAAAATAAAGAAAATTCTTTGAATGAGAAGGTGTGTCCAAACTTTTCGTCTGTTCTGTATAAGAGGCCTCAACTGCCTCAAAGAGAGCAGGGGCAGGAAGCAGGAGTGAGAACAAGGAGCAGAGAGCAAGGATACGTTGTTCTTTGTGTTCCTGTTGTTGCAGTAAAACTCAGCTGACCATTCAACAGAGTACCTTCATTCTTGAACCACAAAGTATTTCTCTTTGTTAAATAAATATTTCCACAACAATCATTATTTTGTTAATTCAATAAAAGAGAAAATTCAAAGTGTAATGAATCAAATTTCTCAGAAATACCTTTAAGTGAAAATGCTCCAATATTAAATTTTCAGGAAATAATATGTTTAAAAGTAAAGACACTAATCTCAACTTTAAAATCATCAAGGGCAAAGGATATTTATAATACGGATACAATACAAAAAATACAAATAAAAAAGGCCTTGATTTTCTCTGTAGAGCTATAATTTGCTCAGTTAAGGATGGAGTTTATCCTACAGCATGGAAAACTGAAGAGATTACAGTTCTTAAAACAGGCAATGGAAGAGAGATAAATAATTATAGGCCCATCAGTATACTGCCAGTTTTCTCAAAAATAATTTAAAAAATGGTTTRTGAGCAATTTATATCACTTCTTAATATCACTCAATTTAAACGGCACCCAATGCGATTTGGATTAACAAAATATCATTCAACAGAAACAGCAAATATTTTTTAATTGAAAATATTAAGGCCACACTAGTCAAAGGGGGTGTGATTGGTGCTGTGTTCCTTGTTCTAAGTAAGACTTTTGACACAGTCAATGATGACATACTTTTACTTAAATTATCAAAGTTTAATTTCTCATCTCTGGCTATTTAGTGGATCAGATCATATTTGTCAAACAGGAAACACCAAGCCTCATGCAAGAACATTTTCATATTCTGATCCTAAATTTCTCTTACTTGTTTTCATTTGAAGGGCTCGTACGAACATACTATGTCAGATTCTGCAAACGCTTATAACTTCAGGAAAAGTGTGTAAATGAGCAGCGTAAACATGATGAATGCACCTGTACATATTCAGGTGCTCGCGCACGAGGAGAGGAGATTAGCATAATTACCACCCCAAAAACACCATATAAGGTTATGTTTCCAGCCCCAGATACCAGGGAGTGTTCATGAAAATGACAGTGAAAAGTAAAAAGAAGAACTTCATAAGTTTGGAGATTGAAGTCCTGCTGTCAGAGATCCAGAAAAGAAAATCTGTCATTTTTAACAGCATCAGCTGTGGAATTAAAGGAGCTGCTAAAGCCAAGGAATGAAATGACTGTTGTTAATGGGTTTGTCGTGTACAGTCAGAAATACAAATCTACCGTATTTATTCATGTATAATACGATCTCAAGTATAATACAATCATCATTTTTTGAACTAAAATGTATAAAAAAAATCTAATTACCAATAACCAGTGTATAATACTACACCCCCCACCCCCTCCACTTTAAAAATGATTTTTAGGGTTAAATTTCTATTATTGTACATGAATAAATATTCATTTCTCTCTGGTCCTGCTCTTAATTTCCTTTGGTCAAATACTTTTATTTAAGTTATGTGAAAGAAATAGGGAAATAACTGTGTTAAATAATTTTCATTATTGGTAAATTATTTACCTTGTCTAGGCTGTWATAACCTCATGCCAAATGTTCCTCTTACTTTACATTTACTATACAGTTACTATACTCTACATGTATAGTTAAATAAACACAGATAATTTATCAGAACAAAACAATATTATTTGGTGTGGATTATTGAACATCAGATCTCTTTACTCTCAGTCTCTGTTAGTTAATGATCTGATAACTAATCATCATATTGATTTATTTTGTTTTACAGAAACCTGGTTACAATATAAGGATTTTGTTAGTATTAACAAATACACTCCTGCTAATTATTAAAATTTTCATGTTCCTAGAACAACAGGTCGAGGAGTGACCGCTATTTTTCAGTCAGGATTATTGACCAATGCTAAATCAAATATTAGTTATAATTCATTTGAGTCTTTGTCCCTCGGTCTTTCTCATCCAAATCAGATCCAAATCAGAAAAACCTCTGTTAATTGTTATTTATCATCCAMAAGGCCATTCTTCCCTTCATTAAGACCTTTATTCTCAGTTTTTATCTGAATTCTCAGATTTTTTTTGTCTGATTTATCATTAAATACTGATAAAGTTATAATAATGGGGGATTACAATATCCATGTAGATGTTAAACATAGTTTTAATAATAGAGTCAACTGGTTTTACTCAAAATGTTCACATCTACTCAGTCTCTTCATCACACTCTTGATCTGGCATATGGCATGGAGAGCAAGAACTTAATAATACATCTTCACCATCCTGTACTGATCATTTTTAATAACCTTTGAGCTTACATTAGCTGATTACACAGCCACTGAAAGTAAATTTCAATATAATAGATGTTTATCAGAGAATGCTGTTGCCAAATTTAAAGAATCTCTTCCATCTATATTTTTGTCTGTCCAGCAGAGTAATGCAACAAAGAACAGTAACTTAGAAGATCATGTTGATATACTTTATTGCAAACATCTCTTCATAAACTCGTCTAAAAATAGAAAGTTATCAATCAGAGGAAGCAGACTTCTTCAGTTCAGTATTATGTACTTTAAAACAAAAGCTGGAAAGAAAATGGTTTTCAGCCATGTACAGTATGTGATAAAAACATCATAAAACTCCTGCTGCATGTTGTAGCCTTTGGTTTTGGAGTTCCACCTAAATTTATCAGTGGATCAGAGGCCCCCATCTGGTCACACTCATAAAACTTTCTGGAGGCACCCCAGTGAACAAGCTTTTTCCTAATTGTTTCATAACAAGAGTGTGCTAGCAAGCATAAAACTCAAATAGAAAGATTCTCACCTGTGTAGGCACTGGTTGCCATGTTGAACCCAGTCTTCCAGGGTGTGCTGTGCTGTTTCATAGATCTTTCTCTCCTCAGTGTGTTCTTCTTCCTGATGGTTAGGAGTATTCTGCTGACAAATCTCGTCAAAGTGCAACTAGTCAATAATTAATTTCTTTTTTAATTTATCGTTGAGACAGTCAAAAGTCACTGGTTAGTCATTAGCTAGATCATGAACTCTGTTTCTCATGGAGATTAGAATGAAGTGGGCTGGACCTAAATAGTATGTTCAAGCTTACTCATTACAGAATTGCATTTTGCTCACCTCAAAAGGCAAAGCAATAATGTTTTTGCCTGTGTTTGTGTGTTTGTATTAGCCTAGTATCTTGTAAACTGTTGAATGGATTTTGATGTAACTTTGAAAGGAATCACCACAAAATACACAGAAGATATGACTAGAAAAACTTTCAAACAAGCTTACTCACAATGGGCCTCATGCAAGAACCGTTCGTACGCACAGATTTGTTCTTAAATTGTGCGTACGAGTGATTTAGAAGAATTTGTGGCATTCACCAATGTTTTCGTATTCTA